ATTCGAGCAGCCCAGTCTCAAGTTAGGTCCTTCAGTTTTGGGTGTAGTTAATTCATTTTCCTCTGTGAATTTTCGTTTAAGGCATCACCTGAACTCAAGATGTTCATGTGGTCGTTTTGTTTCCAGCTATTGTATGCAAGTCTTACAGCTGGGCTTTGAGGCTAGCCCAGCTATACCTTTGTTGATCCTGTTTTGATTTTGGGCCTTCCGTTGAGCCCAATTCTCTTTGAAAATATTACTTATTGTTCCTTTAAGTCCAGAATTCCCCCTCCCCCCCAACTGTTAGGCGATATAGTATTCTGCTTGGGCTATTCAGGGCGATGTATATAGAATTTAATTTGCGTAAACTCAAACTGCCTTAATCTTTAATTAATTAGGTCTCTTTAGTTAGATTGGGGTGTGCCATATCCACAAAAACCTATAATTTATGGGCCCCATAAGACTAGACCAAGAAATCATTCGAAGAAGTAGGCTTGAGGTGTGCCATAAGACTCATGGCCCTCATAACTATCATAACTAGTTATTTAAAATAAATCACGTAGTTTGCTTTAGGCACGTAATTAAACTACTACAACTACGGGTACGGTTCCCGTGGCGTGGTTGTGGTACTTGTTTTAGATAAGTAGGAATATCTTTAGTCTGCCTTCAAATATATGTACAAACCTTCCTCTTTAAAATAATTTAAGGTGCGCCATACACAAATGAAATTCATAACATATGGCCCTTGCAAAGTTAGCCTAGAAAATGCTTCGAACTTTCGTAGTTGCTTTAGGCGCGTTAATCCAATAATTGTCATAGCTACGGGTACGGTTCCCGTGACGTAGTCGTGATGCTTAATTTCTAAAAATTCGGGGGTACTTTTATGTGACCCGGCCACAATTTAATCTTGTTAATAAAATAAACATGTTGTCGATCATGTACGGTTCCCGTGACACAATTCGCAATATGTAACACTAATTTATTAAAAGCGGTTTAAAAAGAATAAATGCATATAGGTTTCAAAGATGTTTTAAAATCAAATAAATAGGCCAATAATAGCAGTTAAGCAACTGTGCTAAAACCACAGAACCCGGGAATGCCTAACACCTTCTCCCGGGTTAACAGAATTCCTTACCCGGATTTCTGTGCTCGCGGACTTAAACAGAGTCAATCTTTCCTCGATTCGGGATTTGAACCGGTGACTTGGGACACCATAAATTATCCTAAGTGGCGACTCTGAATTTTAAAATAAAATAATCCCGTTTCGATTGTCACTTAAATTGGAAAAAACTCCCTTATACCTCTCCGGGGTAGGTAAAAGGAGGTGTGACAACGAGCACAGAAATAATATGCACAGAAATTCTTTCACCATATAATTACTCTATAAGGCCCAAGAAATTATTCAACAACAACACTATATATATCTCAACACAATCTACACTAAAGACTTGTCATTAACGGCAGTGCAGGAAATTAACCAAACACCCCGACGAGTCCACGGCAGCATAACAATGCCCCAAATCTATCACGCGGCATACACAATGCCCCAAACATATTACGGCGGCATACACAATGCCCAAATCTATCACGGAGGCATACACAATGCCCCAAATATAAAACGACAGCGAAGAAATAATTTCTAACGCCCCAACGCCATAGCACGAGGCTACGCCATACCACATCACAAGTCACTTTTTAAATGCTTTAGCTTTGTACAAAATAATATATATTTGCGGCTGGCCAACGACCACCGATTCTGCCAAGCGCACGCTTGTCCCAACATATGGACCAGGCAGACAAAATATATTTTCAAAACGGGTTTTGGAAAAGCAAGCATCAAAGTTTAAAGTCTCACTTACCTCGCTATTGGGACTCTCCCAATCTTGCAACGTCTAGTACACCAACCAAACGGCCTCCAATGACCTCAATCTATCCAAAATATTAAATAACACGCCCTAATTAATCTAGGTGAATAATTTTCATAATCTTAGAACGAGTCAACGTTAAAGGTAACCCTGAGTCCAATAAATAAAATCTATACACTATTAAGTATTAAACAAATTACTTTAACAGTGCAAAGCAAATCGGCACAACAGTGACTTCAGAAGCATCACATTAGCTTATACTCCAGTTCTTCAAAATATTAATAATATTATTTTCTTATGAATGCTTCCTATCACGGCATAATGAGTTATATCTCCTAATTAAAAATAGCAAAAATAACTGAACAAGATTTTTCAAACGAACTCCTAAATTCCATCCATATATAGATATTACTAAATTATTTATGTCATCATTGACATAATCATTACCCCAGTCATTACTTAACAATTACTTCCACTAATTGGCTAACAATTTTCTAGCTAATTAAAGGAGCAGATTGTAGTATGCGAGGAAAATAAATTAATTCTCTTATAGTAATTTATATATTATAGTAAATTACCTTCCCATAGATTAGCACTTTTCCAATAGCTACAAATAAATTAATTCTCTAATCTCACAATTAATAAGTATATAAAAATATATTGGATTTATTACATTTGTACATCTAGATCCTCGAATAAGATAATATGAACTTGAAATTCATAAAAAGATAATTCATTTGCAATATATTGCAAAGCATGCCAGACGCATTTAATTTGTTGACTCAAATAAAGTAACTATATTCTCATTGCAAATGCTCATATTAAGGTCTAGAAGGACAAGTCTATGGTACGCTTAAAGCATATAGACAAATCGGTTTCAAAAAACTTCTTGATAAAGAAGATGAGAAAATGATCAAAATGATCATAATAAAGGATGCAAGTAATCTAGAAGATCACATGACATAACACTTCATAAAATCTCATGAGAGATTCAGGTACCTGAATATATGAATGAAGAGATCTCTATGTTATGTCTTTATAAAAAATAAGGAGGTTGTAACCGATATAAAATATTTGTCAACGACATCTATTATAGCGCTAAGTATAGATGAGGATCTTAAGTCTGTCGAATACAGACATAAAAATATTGGCCAAATGGAAGAGACAAAATTCGAATAGAATTTGGTTTCATATGAAAGACATGTAGTTTTGGACATATAGTTCAAACACTCGAAAGTATAAAGTTAATAGGTGTGTGCAATCACTTTCATGTATTTTATATGTCAGCATGACATGAACAGCATGACATGAAAACTTGATATGCATCTAAAGTTTATTTAAATGGCTCATATGACTATACTTATATAATAATCTCTGAAGGATTTAAATTGCTTAAAGCATATAAAATTCTTGGTCATGAAGTACTATATCCTAAGTGCAATTTGTGCACATTTGTATCTCGTTATAACTATAAGAATGATAATGTGATAGCGAGAATTTTCGAGGTGCAACATATTCATTGGAGTAATATGGTTGATTTATTCACCAAATCTCTGCCAGAGTCAACCTTCAAGAAGCTAGCATAAGATTGGAATGCGAAGGCTCAAGGATGTAAATTGATGCTTTCATCAGCGGAGTTACGTTGTACTCTTTTTTCCTTACAAGGTTTTGTCCCACTGGATTTTCCTTGCAAGGTTTTTAACGAGGCAACCAAGTGGCATATTTCTAAACAAGTGTACTCTTTTTCCTTCTCTAGAATTTTTTCCCATGTGGTTTTATTTTAGTTAAGGTTTTAACGAGGCACATTATCCGTTGAATAGACATTCAAGGGGAGTGTTATAAATAGAATTTTATTTAAGGTGAATGTCTATATTTTAGAGAGATTTTAGGGATTTTACTTGGTGGCTAAGTCATTTTCTCCCTATAAATAGAGAGGTCATATTCCATTATAATTCATCTCAAAGCAATAAGAATTCTCTCTCTCTCTCTCTCTCTCTCTCTCTCTCTCTCTCTACTTTTCTCTGCTATGTTCTTCTTCTTCTTTTACTGTTTCATAACACACACAGCTTAATATCGTGAAGGAAATACACGTCAATAAACTATGTTTAAGTGTAAGAGATTTGTGTATAGGAGGCATATATTATGCATTTAAGGGTCGTTTGTTTGGAAAGAAGTTACTCCAGGATTAGTTATCCCGAGATTAGTCATTCCACCTTTGTATGGGGATAAAAAAATACTACAATTCCGGAATAACTAATCTTGGAATTAATTATACCGTAATTTTTTTCCAACCAAACATGAGATAAACTCTTCTTAGATTTAATCCTGGCATTAATTTTATTCCTTATCTCTCGTACCAAACGGGCCCTTAATGGGTAAGCAAAAAGGAGTAAAATTTCGTACGATGAATAAGAAAGAATCAGACATCTGAAAAGCCTTTTACTAAAGAATAAACTTTGAAACATACCTAAAACTTAGGGAATCTTACGGAAATGTTCCAAATAAGTCCTAACTTATCAATTTCTGGTCACTAATCATAGACTTATCAAAACAAGTCAAGCATATAAAAAAATTGAAAACCCAAATATATAAGGATTCTTTCTCTCCAAGAATCACATGCAAAGGTCTCCTTCTATATTTTTAAGCGTGATCAGCAACATTAGATGCAAGACAGAAAGAAAATTTCATGGATGAGGTAGCAAACAAGGTGATAAAAATACAAAAAATAAATATACAAGATTCCAAAAATTTAAGCAAAAAGGCACCTTTTTCAATGGGTATGGTTGAAATTCGCTGAAAACATATAGATGAGTCAATATACAAAATTTAAGGAAGATTGGAGGTGATTTGGTATCAAAATTCATAGTTAAAATCGAGTTCAAAAAATTCTCCTGCGACACATGTATCATGCATGTATCTCATACACAGGTATATATGGATATACTTGTGATATACATTTGATACAAGTATGATACATGTGCGAGACACAAATAATACAAACATATCATCTTTTTCCATATTAATCTTTTACTTCAAATTTTCAATTCAAACCACCTAAAAACTCTACCAAATCATCCCAAAACTGAGATTTAAACTCCTTGAGATATATCCAATCTATTACAACACCCACTTAAAAGAAAGCAAAAATTGGACATTTTTTTTGCTAGAAATAGCAAATTGGCTAATATTAGTAATATTTTATGAATTGGCTAATTTCGTACTAACTTACTTATGGGCCGACATAACTGGTAATTACTCCTTTTATGGATAGTTGGAAATAGAGACTGCTGGATTGTCTTCATTGAAATACGTTTCAATACTACCGCCCATCTCTTCTGACGGAGCATCGCCCGGTTCAACCACTAAAAAACCCGCAGCATATGGCACGTGAATATCGTTTATCATAACTGTCTCAGTATCGGCAACAATGAAAGGCTTCCTTTCCTTAGAAGTTGATTTGAGTCTTGTGATATACCCTGCAAGAGTGTATTACTTTAGGATTTCCAACAATTTGTTTAACCGATACAAATTGTGACCCCGATCTCGCAGATATTTCAATTCCAGCGAACGAGGGTTCCAGTAGACGAACTCGCACGAAGGGCAGTGATTTTAGGCAGTGATTTAATTCAATGCGAAAATTTTTCCCTAAAAGTTAATCATATTGAACTGAGGATTGAAAAAATTGTTTGATTAAACAAATCATCATATCAAAGCATAGCTTTAAACATTTAAACTGAATTTGAACTTTTTGAAAATTGTGAAAATTATACAAAATAATATTAAAAGTAAAATCGTATCAAAATTTTTGAAACGTCTCAAAATGAAAAAAAATTAAATTGACAATGAGTCAATAACAGAATGAACGAAAGCTCAAGCAATTCTTTTAAATCACTATCAATGGGCAGCAAGGAAGAATTCAACTGATTTGTCGACAACAAATAGTCGCCAGTTTCAGGATTGAAATATTCAATGAGAGGAAAAGAAGATGAAAGAAAGATGATAAACACATGGATTTATGTTAAATTAAACTAGCTAAAGTAGTCTACATTTTGCTTCTCTATCTCTATATATACAAGAAAGCTAACAAAATGTACCTATAAAATTCACAGCTGCAGCTATAGATTTTTGGTTTTCCTGACTGATGATACAGAATATACACAACTAGGGATCTCCTCTACACGCCCGGTCAGTTGAAACTTCATTAACCTTTCCCTATTTCGAGCTGCTACAAAAAGGTAATACATTTCTGTGACACTAACTAAAATCTGTTTTCCCACCTTCGTGTTGTACTTTGAATTGGTACCAGCCAGGATGGAGGAATACGAAAATTCCAGGAATCGAACTCATATCTGTTCAACAAAAGAAACATGAATCAAAGAAGATAGATTTATGAAAGAAACAGCTAAAAGATATCCCAAGATATATTGCAATTTCTTGCAACAAGCTTGCTGTTTTTGGGGGGTGTTTACCAATTTACCAGGCGAAAAGAGTTCATTTCCTCCAAAATTTCAATCTAAGTTCTATAATCATCAGAACAACATGTTTATCAATAGCCATTTTGCAGTTAACTTTTGCAAGATTCTTTTGCTCTATGGCTTTAGCCAGTTCTGAATCTGCACGCTTTTTCTCTTTCTGCCAGCAGTTGCTTCTAACATCTTCATACTCTGATTTCACCAACTAATTTTGATTTCTTTTCTTGTTTCCTTTTTTAAATTTTCTAAAGCAACCTTTCAAGATCACTCCTTTCTTCATGAGCCCTAGTTTTCTCAACCTTCAAATTTTTTTCTTAACTAAGCCATTTTCCTTTCTTTTTTTTTTTTGGTTGGAGAATCCCTGAAGAATAATGGCACACGGTTATTAAAAAATCCGTATTTTGCTCAGGTTCTTTTTTCTTGTAGCAGGAGTAGGACGATACATGATAAATGTTACAGTCACTGCAGATATAACAAAATGAATAGCTTAATTAAAAGTTCTAATTTTCAGCAAATGTTTTTAATACTCCCTCCTTTCATTTTTATATAGTTGTGTTTGACTGGGAATGGAGTTTAACAAACAAAAAGAAGACTTTTGGCACATACCGTACACCTAGAACTTGTGTCATTCTTTTTAGAAAAACAGAAAAAGGAAAGAGTGCTACATAAAGTGGAATAGAAAGAGTAACAAATAGCAATTTAGTGTTCAGCAAATATACATATCGATAATTAGATATTCCCATAAAGTTTGTCTTAGAGGGTGCTCTAGCTAAGAGCAACAAAAACCAAAAGCTGTTCATACCACCCATTGAAAACTATACTATAGCAGAAGAAAAATTACCTTACGCAGGAGATGATTTTACTAGCTTGGTAGACTCGCCAGTTAATTCCCTTTTGATCACCTTCAGAATCTCCATAATCTGCATTTAAGTAAGCAACATGTTAACAAGGTATAATATTAGCTCCATATAAATGCAATTGCATGATTCAGAGGGGACACAAGTTTATATTGGAAGTAGCTTCCCCCCCAAATACCCGATTATCTTCAATGGCAGAGCAAGAGCAGTAGGAGTAGTCTTTACCCCTCGTCACTGGACCTTTAGCCACTGGTTTGTAAAAGTTTGCACATGCTAACAACTAGATACCCAGCTAACAACTTATCCTTCGATTGGAAAGAGTGACTACTTTATGTTCAGATGCAAAGGACAGATTTTCAAGTTTGCAGTCTATCTGACATACTTGAAGCATATTGGAACTTGAGATGACTATTAGACACATATTGCTGAATCAATAAACCGGACTAATACTAGTCTCACAGGAATGATAACACATATCTTTTAAGACATGATTCATCTTACCCCAGGATAATGCTGCAAAACTGGCGAGTAATGATCAAGTGCTATATAAATCTTCTCAAGTAGGCTTAAAAGTGTATCCACCTCATCACCCAAAAGATCAACCTGAATGTACAAGAAACCTCTTAGAAAAACTAGGTAAACCATAGTAAAACATCAAAAAGTTAAAGCATGATGCACTTTTGTAGTAGGTTAAAACAATGCTGATGTAGCATTTGAGCTACGGGTTGAACAGAACCAGTATTTTTGACATGGAACATGAATTTATAAGTGAAAAATCACATATTTCAATTAATATCAGATTCTGACCCCATAATTTAAGAGGTACAGTGAGTTCAGTGCTAAGAACTTTAAAGATTGAAACCATCGAGTTCAAATTCTAGATCCATCTCTGGATTTAAAAGCTTATGTTTCAATTAAAATTATTGCATAGTTAATTGCTAATTTGCTATTTATCAGCAAAAACTACAGAAATATAACAAAAGATGCATTTTATGTAATTGCCTCAGCCTCGGCCAATTGAAGGTCAGAACATCTTCTGTCAAGCCTTTGTTGGTATAGTAGCATTGTTCTTCTCAGCAAATTTGCCTTTTTAACAAGAGAATCCAATTGAGAAGAAGAGTGCTCAAACCTGAAAGTATTACCAACAAATTGCGTTAGGTCTGACTGCAGATAATCCAATGTAAACTTCGCAAGAGTCATGTCTTCTAAGCAGAATAAGGTTTTGAATGTATATGTATGTGTCTACCAGTTAACCGAAATTGTTTATGTGATCTTTTTCCCACTTTTTCCCCTACTAGAACTGAATGTTTATGCCAATCTTACCTAGAAACGTGACGGCAAATGCAAAACACTACCAATACTTCTGAAACAAAAGTGGAGCTAAGGTTGATCACCCAAAGAATACACTACAAATGATATATCGATTGAAAAAGATATACACACACAAAAGCAAACAGCAACTAAAGAGGCTTGTAGAACGAAAAAATTGATAAAGCAAAATGTCCATTTTCTTCTTTTTATCTTTTGGTTGTCAGATGGAACAAAACCGAGTTAATTATTAGAAGAGAGTTAATTAAAAGCAAAGGAAACCTAGACCATTAAACTTCCGGATACGCAAATATGGGACGAGAAATGAAAAGGTAGAAGGATATATCAGTTAATAGGTCAACAAAGCATAAAATATCCAATACTATGGATATGGTGACACCAAAACCTAAGCTTTTTTTCACAATAAGGAAATATGCAAATTAATAACTATCAAAAACAAGAAAGATATAAAGGAAAAAATGAAAAGTTTTACACAGCCTCTCAAGCTAATAAATCTCTGGAAATTTACCCCCTTAACTAGTTTTTGTGGCATTATACCCCTTTTCCCATACGAAATGCACATCAGCCCTTTTGTAAGACAACCATCAAATCTGAGGACAAACATGTAGTCTGTTTTCTGTTCCTTCCTTCTTTTTGATAATAGAGAGGATTTTTTTTAGAAGGAATGAGTAGAGAGAAGATTTAATTTTTATTCCTTCCTTTCTTTTCTCCTGTTTTGCGCTTTTCTTCACCTTCTTCCTTCTCAACTTCATCTCCTAAACACACTCTTCCTTTGCTGCCAGCTCCCTGATAGAAATTTCTGACCTAGTATTTATTAATTTGCTAAAAGCCTTTGGCTTAGCTGTATCTGGTTTACATTGTGGAATGTTTTGATAGATTGAGAAAAATTAAAATCTGAAGTAAATAAGCTTTTGATTTGCTTCGTTTACTCCAAAATTAAATGGCAGCCCCAATTGCTTTTGCTAAGGAAAGCTTCCACATTCCTTCAATCCAGCTTTTCCTTCTCATTAGTGCCTTTCATCCCAGTTGCCATGCCAGCAACTTTCCTCCCAAATTTCCCCAGCTTCAATCGCTTGTGTTGAGCTTGGTCCTTGCCTCCTTAGGGTGGAACGGACGCCATTTTTTGTTGGGAAAGAGAAAGGAGGAGAAGCATGGGGCCATAAAAGCTTGTGTTGGGGCGGGAGGGAGGGGCAGTAGCAATGTAGAGAAGAGGAGAAAATAGAAAAAGAATTGGTGCTACTGAAGACATAAATCAATTTTACACTAGTATCATTGACTTGTGAGGTACATGAGGTCTGGGCTCTTGTTTTGAGAGAAAAAATTAACAAAAGGGGGAGATTGCTGCAATTTGAAAAGATGAAAGGGCGCAATGTCACAAAATCAGATGAGTTAGTAAATTGCTACAAACAAATAAGTATAACGGTCACCAGAATACCATCACTTTGTTTATTTTTTAGGTCCTTATGACAAGAACAGAACACAGGTGTTCTGAAAACAAGTCCATATCAGTGTTTATTTTAGAAAATAGTGTCTTACAAATGTTATGTTCTTGGTGTAATCTACAGTTACTTTTGGGTGTTCTTTTGTCAACCTTTTGGATTCTCTGCGTATTTGAAGGGACAAAAGGCCTTTCTGTACATATTGGCGCTATGATATTCCAATTACTTATCGAAAAGGTTAGGGAAGCACTGACCTGGCATTATTTGTTATCAAACTTCCTGTCACCCTGCATTCGAAATCAGCAAGCATCTTTGATGATTCATTTATATTACCAATAATTGTTTCCACCTGCTTTCTCAGCTCTATTTCTTTTGCTTCAAGTGAGGACAAAACAGTTTGCCTCTCTTCAGAGATAGCAAGGGCCATATCTTCCCTGTGATTAGCGTCTTTTAACTCCTTGGCCTTCTCCTCAAGACTTTTATTTAATTGTGCTGCCTCCCCTTTCAATACTTCAATTTGCTCCAATGCTTCTGCCAATTGGCCTTTTACTACATTTACTTCTTTGTTGCACCCAGAAGCTAATGTTTGTTGCTGACTTGCAAACTCTTTCACAGTATTTAACTCTTGACACACCTGCTCAAATTGCTTCCTCTCTTTTGCTAGAGCAGCTGAAGCATCTGTTGCTAACCTTTCCTTTTCATTCACAGACGTTTCCAGCACAGAAACATTTTGCTTTAGCCTGTCCTTCTCTTCAACCTCGAATTTCAATTCGTTTTCCATCTGAATAACTTTGGTCTCAAGAGATATACGAATTTCTTTTTCATTCAAATACTCACAATACAGCTCCTTGAGAATGCCTTTAGCCTCCTTGATGCCTTCACCGAAAATCACTCCACATATTTCTTGCATAATCAGGCACTCCATATCTAAATCTTCAATTTCAACCTTTCTAGTACGTCCAGCATTAGTATCGTTACTATCATTAATCATATCAAATCCCAAGTTTAATTCCTCAACTTCATTTCCTGTCCCTCCACTAAGATCCCTTAGAAAACAAGTATACACTTCTTCCCTTACAGAAGCTTCTATGAGTGACTGTTCCATGGCTAAATTGAGATCTCCTATCTGTTTTAGCATGTCTGCTTCCACCGAAGAATGTTGCAGCCTCTTCTCAGTAGCATCGGAAACCTGGGACAAAAGGGACTTAACTTCATTTTTCTTATCTCTAAGCAAGTCTCTGAGCTGGTGATTTTCAGAAAGAAGGCTATCAAGCCTATCCTTGAAGTTATCGAAACTTAGAGTCTCCTGGGTAAATGCAGGATGTTTTTCATTGTCCACAAGAATATCATCCAATTTGAATATAATTTCTGGAATCTTCTTCCTTAGAACATCAAATTCACCCTTATCCTTTTTGTGTGGCACAGCAGAGCCTCCTCTAAGCTTTAGATAATCTGCTCTTAGAACAAAGTATTCATCGGTTTTCTTTTGCAGAATGGACTCATGGTGTCTCTTCATCTTTGTCAGTATATTATTAAAATGGTTCACCATTTCGTCTCTTGACATGTGCTTCAACGTGGCAGCATCAAAGTTCTCAGGTATATCAGTCTTAGAATCCTCCATCTTCTCATTTCCATCCCAAACAGATTTTGAAGAAGTCACATGCTCACTTGATGTCTTGCGTGCAAAGAAATCAACATCATGCAATCCATGGGAGTTAATATGCCCTGTTTCTGAACTTGACAATGACTTTAAAACAGCTTCCAAATCCGTCCGTAAACTAGAGATGTCATTCAACTTCTCATTTCGGTCACCACACAATCGAGCATACTGGTCCCATAATTTGTACTCAAAGTCTTCCTGCACAGTCCGAATTACACTGCGCATTATCATCGCCTCAAGCTCCACTTCAGTGAGATGCTCCTCCTGCCACTGACCAAGTGATGTCTTGGACAATTGTAGCATATCATCCATTCGCTTAAAGATGGTATCCACCATCGTTTTCAGGTTATCTATTGTTTTGTCCACCTGATCCCAAATTCCAGAATCCTTCTCGTGAAGAATAGCTTCTAGTCCCACCATCTCAGAGCGAGGGCTGATGTTCCTGATACAATTGGATCCTCTAACCTCATAAATACTCTTATTCAACTTCTTGAATTCAACCTTTGCCGAACTTCTTAGCCCATCAAGAAAGTCTCCCATCTTGTCATGCTCCATAAAAACATCAGATAGACTCAAGTGTTTTCGAAAATTCATGCTTTCTAGCTCATCCTGCAACGTAAGTGACCCAAGAGATTCAATTTTGCTAAGACCCCCATCATGAAAATGCAAATACTCCTTCAAGTTGGTTAATTCAATTTCCTTAGCAGCTAGCCTCTCAGCCGCCTCTTGCTCCACAGCACTCACCATTCCCTTAATCACCGAGTCGCTCACCATCCTTGATACCATTAAGCGGTCGTTGATATCTTCCCAATAAGTATCAAAATCCTCCAAAATCTCATCACCCAAATTCTCATTTTCCTTTCCACCATTAACCATTTTCTCAAACCCACCATTTGTCATTCCATAGAAGTCATCCTCATCACGTGATTTTATACCATTCCCATTACTCACAGCCCCATTCTCTAATACCTCTGAACTTCCCATAACACAAGCATATCTGCATATATTTTTCTCAATATTAGAAAACCCACTTAATCATTTCATTCTCAAGAAAAAAACCACTTTAACCCAATTTTTTTTTATACATACACCAAAAAAAAATAGTTTTAACAAATTAACCATCAAACAGAGGTACCCTTAGCGGAAAACGCACTGAAAACCAAAATGATGGAGGAAGTGAACAACTCAAAGCTAAATTAACCAAAAACTCAACAAATAAAACAACTTTCAAAGTAAGCAAAGCCAAAAATTAAAGAGCAAGCATAATAGGGAAAAGGGTGTTCAATTATTACTGGGTTGTTGTTGTTGTTGGTGTTCAATTATTACAACTTTTAAACAAACAATTAATTGAGGCAAATACTTATATAAGAAAAGAAAAGGCTTAAATGTGTGAACTTACAAGGAAAGAACTGATACAATCCTTCGAGCAATAAAGTTACCAAAAGAGTAATAATAAGTTCAAATGGGTCTTTGATAAATGCTAAAGTGTATGGCAGCTCTTGAATTTTTTTCAGAGTCAGTGGAGTGTTAGCTTTAGGGTTTTGAGACAGAGGAAGATTAAAGGTTGGGGGGGAATGAGCGGGAGTGATTATACATATAAGAAATGAGGCTTAAATGAGATGATTTACACAAACTGCCGTCGCTTTTTCTGGAACGTTGATTATGGAGTTTGATTCCAATAAAGAAAATGAGTTGATTTCGTAGGAAGATGGTCATAGTACGTCAATTAGGAAAACAATTTACAATATTATATTAATTAAGAATAAATATTGCACTAAACTGTATAGATGATGATAATTAATTATAATACGTAATTTTGGTAATAATTTATTTTTAAAGGGGAGTGGCCGAAGAAATGGGGAAAAGCTGCAGAGAGTCCTAAGAAGTGGTTGACCGCATTTATAATTTGTTTGTATTTGGATAAAATTAAAAAAAAAAATCATTTTATTGAATTTGATTTTTCTTTAATTTTTTTTACTTTTGATTTTTCTTTCCCTGAAAAATTGAAATGGGCATTTTGGTTATCTTTGCTATATTTTCTGTCAATACTTTATTATTATCTTTTTTATCTTTGTTTTTTATTCTTATTAATTCTTGAGCCTAGGGTCTATCGTAACAATTTCACTACCTCATACAAGGTAGTTAAAGTTTGCGTACACCTTATCTTCCACTTGTAAAATCACACTAGGTATGTTGCATGTTAAAAATTGGTAGTCGGAAACAAACTCATTTTTAAAATTTTCCTAAATTTTTCTTACCTGTTTTGACTGACGAGGGTAAACTCATTTTTTAAAATCCTTTAAAAAATAACATAGTATTAAATTTATAAATTTGAGTTATTTGCAGTTTGAACCCATAATGTTCATGCATTTTTTTCAACTATTTGCATGCTAAGCTCTCAATTCCTTGTAAAGATATTAAAAGTATAATTTCATTGTTTACGGTGGGAAATCAATAGTTGAATTAAGAAAAAAATAATAACTTAAATTAAAAATATAAGTAATATTGAGTAACCGATATTTTTCTATTATCTTCATACAAATTCAAAGACATAAAACATCACGACTCATCACAATATTATTCAACTTAGTTACTCGTTTCTCCTCCATTAAAACACGCATACTTTTTAAAACATTATAGATACATGTAATAACTAGTATCGTACAAAATAGAAAGAAGACAACAACAACTGAGTTTTTATTGTTAAAGCATCCTGCAATCTTGTGACGATGGCTCTGCATCGTTTGATATTAACTTACATTTTGCTTTCGGAATCTTTTTGCGGGTTGGATCTCTGTCTTCAAATTAGGAATTGAATACTGATAGATGAAATATACACAAAAGGCAACAAATTCGTATTTGCATGATGCCTTACTCAACACATGAAGAGAGGAAGACCAAACACTAATGAAATATAGCCGTTGATAATAGGTGGTCAGAGTCGAGTGAAAGCAAAATCGAAAAGAAAAAAACTAAATTGTATAATAAGTTAGGAAAATATGCTTTGTGCATCAAAGCCTTTCCCTTAGTATGGTGCAACCTTTTTGTATTGCATTTTTTTTGAATTTGACGGGGCTTTATCAGTGTTACCTGTTAAATCGTTTTTCCTTGATAGTTCAAATCAAATCAAATCAAATCAAACCATTAGGGTTTGTTGGATAATTTTTTGGAGATCAAAAGTGTTCATTTTTAGCAAACTTAAAGGACCAAAATTACCAGAAATATGTTTCAGGAATTATCTTAAACATATTCCAAAACATAAAGGACCATTTTTGAAACGCCCTCTGCTATTATAAATTCCCAGAGGGTTTGTACCATAAAAAGGAGCAACCAGCGGCTCTCTCTGTCTCTCTCTCTCTGTCTCAGCTTCAGTACGCAGCCTCCTCTCCAAATCCACTGGTATGTTTTCTCCTTCCTCATTCTCTTCTTGTTCTCGTTTTAGCTGATACTCTGGTTTTATCTTTTGAATTTGTGGATTTTTGTTTGATTGGAATCCAATTTATATGCTGAAACTCTTCTATTCTCTTTTCTACTTTTTGTAGGGGAACTTATTGTTAATTGCTGTGAATCATAGTTTTCGTTAGTCAAGATAACTATGAATCGTCGAGGTGTGAACTTTGTCTCTTTTCTCCTTTTTTCCGCTTCGCATTTTCCTTAAATAGCTTGGCTATGGTTTATTTTTAATCAGCCATGTGTGTGGGCGTATTTGGTTTTGAAAGAACTGTTTTTAAATAATGTCTTATGGAGAACGAAGCAGCTGATTTCTTGATTTTTTTTTTTTTGCTGTTTGCTTTCAATGACAAAATTTATGTTTTTTGCTTTTGAATATAGAAAAGGCTTATAAGTTGGACTTCAAAAGCCTCATTTTGGTGAAATAAATTTCTTATAGTGAAAGCTATACTTCTATTGTTGAGATTGCTCTTAATTGTTGTAATACTTAGCTCTGTTTCTTTTTTGCTACCGGAAACCCAATTTATGTGTCTACCCTTGATATTGTCTCCTGTTTACCCTTTGCTAGTTTCGCTTCCTAGTTTGCAAGCATATGTTACATAATTTTTTTGGTTGTCTTGAAGGGCGTCATTGACACTTAAAGCATTGCTTTTTGCACTTTGTGCTTCTGATGACTACTAGCATCTGGTTCTCTTTTGATTCCATTCTGGATTGTAATGTTACTTTGGACTAATAATTTGTGGAATTGTGGGGCAGGTCCAGTAACTAAAATGGCAGATGAGGAAAGCCCCAATGTTAATGAAGAGCCGAATCCCAAGCCGAAGCACAAGGGAAAACATGACAAGCCAAAGCCATGGGATGATCCAAGCATCGACCATTGGAAGGTTGAGAAGTTTGATCCTTCCTGGAATGAGAGTGGAATGGTTGTCGTCAGTTCCTTTTCAACTCTCTTTCCTCAGTACAGAGGTTTGGTCCCAAAAATATATTCTCTGTCCAAAAGAAATTAGTGTCTGCTTTTCTTAATGAAAAGTTCCAACAGTTGCACATCTTGTTTGTACTTTATGCATTAGAGTGTAAAATTCTGTCTGAAGCATACAAACTTTTTATTCGCCATTATTCAGGCACATGATATGGGTAAACTTAACTTGATGTTTTGATGATACCAAATAGAAGAAAGGGCAGGCAGTTGCTATGTCTATTGGTGCAATCTTTAGTTATTTCTTTCTTCAATGATTTGTTAATGAGAACTGACAACACAAGGCGCACTTAGCAGGTAGGGATTTCAATGAATCTATTAGTTAATGCCTAGGGATTTCAATGAATCTATTAGTTAATGACTGACCGACACCGAGTCTCTCCTTATAAATTGTAATCTTATTCACTTGATGATGTTTGCATTTTAACTTTTTCTTGATAAGTATGCTTTTTTACTTCTTTGTTAAGCTATCCATGTTTCTTGCGAACCTATAATAATCGAAACATTAGTGTAGGATATGTAACGATTGAGCTTTTTTATCAGAGAAATATTTGCAAGAGTGTTGGCCTATTGTAAAAGGTGCCTTGAAAGAGCATGGAATTGCTTGTGAACTTAACTTGGTAAGTCATTGTGACCTCCCTCCCCTCCGTCTCTCTCTCTCTCACACACACACATTTTCATTGCTGTCTATAACTATCAGAATACTTCTAGAACTATGTATTATTCGTTAATCAGTAAGGTGCTAACTCATATCTGTGAACTTGAGAACCAAGGTTGCTTAACTCTGACTCATGTATTTTGGCGAGAATTAAAATTGCTCTGTGCTAACTCTAGGATATTGCATTCCTGAATTAAAATATTAAAGAGTGTTTAAGGTCATAATCCTGAACTAAACAGTAATAATCCGGAATTCGACCTTATTGATGGGGGCACCAGGCACCCAAACTCAGGCTTAACATTGATTTTTTTGGAACTCCTGGGGAACTGATACGAGGGGCTTTGCCTAGGGCGTTTCAACTGCTCATACAATGATGAGTGTGCAGAGTTGAAACGATGAAATCTAAGTTATTGTTGAAATCTTTTGGATTTCCTCATTCAAAGTGGCTATGGATAAACCTCAAGTTTTTAACAGGAGTCTTGAGTTGCTCACATTTAAGCATAGATGTTTACGAAATCTATTGTACTTATTTTACAGCACTTCTTGTTGCTGAAGTTAAATACTTACCTTTAACAATAAAAAAAACAGTGTTTAAGAAATCTATACTTATGGTGTTAGGATCATATGTTAGACAGTGTGTCGCAATTTTGAACTTTTTGGACAGCATGGGATTATGATTTGTAACCCTTTTTGCATTCTCTTCTCAGTACCTTCTTGGTACTTATTTTAATGAAAATTTACGCAGTGTTGTCAAAGGTGTGCTTATGCCCTGAAGCGAGGTTTAAAACATGTTGAGCGCTTCGCCTCGCTTTATGGGCGCTTTAGTATCGCATCAAGGCTCTAAGGCATACTATTCCTTGCCAATGAGTGTAATTATGAAAATACGACATTAAACAATTGATATTTCACTTTATCGTAATTCTTTGTCCATATATTTGTTATTCATGCTTATAATTATTAGTCTTGGACTACATATACATATTTTTACTTTTTCTCCAGTTGCGCCTTTTTTCATTAAAGCCCACTCTTTATTTGCGCTTTGCACTTAAAGCCCCAACGGACCTTAGAGTTTTTTTGCGCTTTTCGCCTTTGATAACACTGATTTTACGATACATTATCCCCCCCAAAAAAAATTGTATGCTATTGGGTTAAGGTTGCTATGTCATATTTCAACATTTTGTTTAGTTGTTATCTACTTAATCAAGTGATGTTAAGGTGAGGATTTGGGGAACAAGTTGCCCAAATAGAGAAAGCATGTATATCTGAGAAATTATTTTCATTGTTAAGGGGCTTTGGAGAAATAAGTATCCTACACAGATAAAGTATGTAGAAAAAAGAATTTTATTTCGTTGATAGGGGTTGTATTCTGGTAATTTTCCAAGTTTTTCGTGATATGTCAATAACTTCAAAGAGCATCACACACTATTACCTTGACTGGCTATTACTTTATTACTGCTTTTCCAAAAAAAATTTCGATGTTTCCTCTCTGATGAGCACTAATATTAGGTCTGCTTAAGTTGGAATTTTCACACCCCTGTAAAGAGTGTTGATAATTTTTTGGAATTTTGTTAGCTCCCTGATATTAGCATAGACACTGTTTTGGAGCTAGCCTTCTGTTGTTTGACAGGTTTTTTGCCTTGTTAGCTCCTTGTAGGAATTGTGCTAGAGCTAGCCTTTTGATCCCTTTTGTATTTCTGCATCTTCTTGATGCCTTACTACTGCAATTTACGTACTTCATAAAAAGGTCTGCACTTTTGCAAATTGCATTATCTGTTTCTTTTATCTTCTGTTGCTGGTCAGGTTGAAGGATCCATGACTGTTTCTACTACTATGAAGACAAGGGATCCCTATATTATAGTAAAAGCTAGGGATCTGATAAAACTTTTGTCAAGAAGCGTCCCTGCTCCCCAGGTTTATATTTCTTTTATCCCTGTTGTTTCTCGTCATCACCGATTCTCTTTTTATTTCGCATGCTAACATGCTTGGTTAGACTTTTTGTTTTTAAGTAATAATCAGTAAATAGCCTTGTTTTAGGAGTGAGCCCTTGCTTCTATTTATGGAACTGTACTCACCTTGTTCCAATACCAGGAAAGGCTCGACTTTTTTATTATTTTCAATAATCCAGGAAAGATTGGACTTGGCATGCATTATTGGATTATAAAGTTATTTGCCATCCTTTATTTATTTTGACCAGTGGCTATCTTATGCGTAGTCGGAATGGTCGTGCAGTGGAAAGGGTTATAAAAAAAGTGGGAGGCTTTGGTACATGCTGTTAGTAAGTAAATACCCAACATTTGGAGCCTCTAATGGTCCACGAATTTCCCGAGACACTGTTATGTGATATTAGAGAGTTAGGTGTCACGTTATTTGCTCATCTGAATAATTCATTTTCTTTCTGCTTGAATTTTGTTTCACAGGAAGCAGATCTGCACTCAGCTGCCTATTGCATATTGTTCAATGTCCTTTTATTCTACTTTTCTAGTATTTATTTTTGTTTTTCATTTTCGGCCATCTGTAGTATAACAGGAGAAGCGAAAATACATTCATTTGTTGACAAATTTGTCGTTCTTGCTCCTTATAACTTGTCTCCTCTGGAATTTGAATGTTAAATTAGAGGATTTCTTCACTTATTTTTATGTATTTTTATCATTCAACTGTCTCTTCATCTTTTAGTTACTTTCAAAAGAAATGTGCTTTTGCAGGCTATCAAAATCCTGAATGATGAGATGCAATGTGATATCATCAAGATCGGCAGCCTGGTTCGCAACAAGGTGGACTATGCTATCCCTACTTAAATTAAGTACATGTATTCATTTTCATTTATAATCTGGTGAATGATCTTGATATGAACATGCATTAATACAGTTGTCAAACACTTTGTTGGACGCTCGTCGAATAAGAATGCTCCTTCACTATATATACACACTTTTTGATAAGTATGCTCATTCACAATATTACATATTCTTTTGAAAAGTATGAGAGGACTGTTAAGCCCCCTCTCACTCGTCCACACTCCTATTTGTTCACCCAGCTGCCATTCCCAAAAGTATGCCTTGAAGAGACTTGAACCTCCACTCTCCTTAGCATGAGATTTATTTTAAGGTTTTCCTGTTGACCATTTCTTCACAAAGGCATCTTGAACTGTTGCACTGTATGCAGTGAGTATGTTTCCTTTTGCCTTGTTGGTTATCACTGTTACATAAAAGGTACTAGTTAAATGGATATTATTTCTGAACTTACAAGATATATTTAAGTTCTTGATTATATTTCTTACCTATTATTTTTGGGAGATTTGTCACTCAAATATGAAATAACATTTAGCTTCCTCTTGATTAAAGGATGTTTTCTTCCCCTAGATTACAACAACAACAACAACAAACACAGCTTAATCCCATACGTGGGGTCTGGGGGATAGTGTATATGTAGCCTTACCCCAGGGCCGCCTCTAACATGAAGAGTGGTAAGGCTTGTGCCTTAGGGCCCCAAATTTGGGGGGGCCCATTTTTTAAAAGTAATAAGGTTTATAAGTAGTTAAAAAATAATATTTAGTACTTTTAATAAAAAAAAAAAAAGTAGAGTTTTTTATATAAAAGGAAAGAGAGCTCTTTAGATATAGAAATAAAGTAATAATTTGACATACTTACCTTATCAAAAATAAAATAATTTGACATGCTTAAAAATGGGTAGATGAATAGTTTTCTCAACGTTTCAGTTTTACTCTAGATAACGTATAAAAAATTTACTCTCCCTTTCTTCATAAGTCCAAGTCAATCTTTCTTTTTCCCAATCTCTTAATATTTTAGAAATCCCTACATATTTTCTGTCTATCTCTTTAATATTCTTACGCACCTTCTTTCTCCAAGATTTCATTGCTCACCTTCTTTCTCCAAGATTTCATTAGTTCAAGTATTCAACAATACTTTTAAGCTTCCAATAGTTCTATACTTCTATTGCTCTATAAAATCTTATCTAAGATCAACAATATCTCAAGAAAGATTAAATAAATTGGCTATATTATCAATTGAATAGAAATAATTAGAGAAAATCGATTATAAAAAAGATTATTGACAACTTTGTATCTCAAAAAGTTAGAAGAATACTTCAAATAAAAACATATCATATAACTTTCTTTTAAATATTTAGGCCTCATTTTAAACTTTGGCTTTAGGCCCCGCATATGCTTGAGCCGCCTCTAGGCCTTACCCTTGCCCTATAAAAGCAGAGAGGTTGTTTCCGATAGACCCTCGGCTTAAGGAACGGTAAAAATAAAGCAACAGGAAATATCAACAGTAATGTCATAAGCTAATGGAAGCGAGTGACATAACAAGTAATAAAGAACTAAGAATACAAGAATAGTACTAGTACTACTGGAAAACCTAGGAGAAACTCACAACTACCTATCAACCCACCACCTTAATCCTCGACCTCCACACCTTTGTCCTTGGTTAGGTGAAACAATGACATATCCTAACTTTGGCTGGCATGCATATTAATCTTAGAGTTGAAACTTAGGATTAGTTCAATATGAATCGTGGAACATGTGGGTGTCATTAGTTAACCCTTTTAGCGTTTTGTTATTTATTATCAAAAAGTAGAGATAAGTTGTTGGCAAGATGTAAAGATGAGGTACATGTTTAACTTTTGATAAGTACAGTGCATGATTAGACTAACTCTTGCGTGAACTAAATGGTGGTTTTTGTAGAATACTTCGTTCCATTTTATATGACCGTGTTTTACTAGATATAGAGTTTAAGATGTTAATTTGACTTATATATTATATTAGTGGTAGTGGAAAAATATTAAATTAGTGGCTGCAACGGAAGTTTCATAGGAAAGACCTCATATAAAAGTTCAAAATTTGAATGCTTGAGTGTTGTGGAATAGTATTGTTAGTCGAATAGTGTTAAACATTTGGAATGTCCCGGAAAAGTAAACAGTGGCATATAAATTGGAATCAAGATAGAAAAAATAGTAATAATAATGGGGTGTAATACTCAATTGTTAGATTATGAATTTTGTTGGTATTCCTGGTCATGTGCGTTGTCTAAATTCATGTTATTAAACTCTTGTTTTTGTTTTGCAGGAGCGCTTTGTTAAACGTAGACAATATCTTGTGGGTCCCAATTCGTCAACTTTAAAGGTTGGTGAATTGGCTTTTGCACCATTCTCTGAAAATTGCAATTGGTTAGGAGGAGAACATTCTACTGCCAGTGTTATGTAGGACTGAGCCAAAATGCCATTCTCTTGACCAAGGATCATTTTGTCAAGGAGTATTTTCTAATTTCTTTCTTTAGACCATGCATGAACAGGAGAGCATTTGTTTCTGTATTTGCTTACCTGTCAGGATGATTTATATATTCATAGTGGATGGCCCAACTTCCAACTGGAAGATTTTCCCAGAATATTCGTCTTGAATCAGTAATATGGATGTGTAATATTACAACAACAACATACCCAGTATAATCCCACAATGGGGTCTGGGGAGGGTAGTGTGTACGCAGACCTTACCCCTACCTGGCGAGGTAGAGAGGCTGTTTCCAATAGACCCTCGGCTCAAGAAAAGGTGAAAAGAGAAAGGAAGAAGAGGAAGAAGGAAGAAAGAATAGGGGGACAAAGGACGATAAGGAAAAGGGGAGAAAGACAACTATAGTAACAACAATAACAACAACAACAACGAAACCGGTAACAGAAAATAGCATCAAACAGTAACAAACTATTGAACTGCCAAAATATTAAACTGAACAGTAGATTAGTTTATCTGATTGTGGGTAATGATTTTACTCCTCCTTTACATTAGTAGTTAATCATGGGTATTGCCTGGCAAGCGGATGACCCTTGACCAGAACCACGTGAGGTTTAGTCCTACCTCCTACCTGTGCCAGCCACTCATCCAGACCAAATCTGCTATAAAACGTAGAGATATAGATTGCTTGAATGTTGGTGAATATACTGACACATCATGCTGAGTTATTACCTTCTGCCATATAGCTTGATATGTATCACGTTGGATGCAGGCCCTGGAAATTTTGACCGGCTGCTATATTCTTGTCCAGGTATACTCATCTTGCTACTTGTAAAGTAAATCCCAAATTCAGTGTCCTTTTCATTTTCTTCTTTTAGGTCAAAGCTTTAGCCTTATCACCGACTCTTAAGTGTGTGATGTAAAATATTCTAGAAAAAGTTGAGAACAAACCTGAATCTTGCCTAAAATTGAGTAGGGAAACACGGTTGCTGCTATGGGTTCCTTTAAAGGTCTAAAGCAAGTGAGGAGGATTGTAGAGGACTGCGTACTGAACAAAATGCATCCTCTACATCATATCAAGGTAACTGAGCATGATAATAAAAATGAATTAAATAGGGTCTTCAACTATTTATTACAGTATGTTATGAATAAAAGGTCTGTTAATTCACTTTCCCTGACGTATCTCTGAGACCATAGATCCTCATGCTGAAGAGAGAGCTTGCAAAAAATCCAGCTCTGGCTAATGAGAACTGGGACAGATTTCTTCCGCAGTTTAAGAAGTAAGGCATCTTTTCATATGGTGTTGGAATCATATTAACTTTTTATTCTGCAGTTCCAAATACAAAGCTTAAATATTATTTTGTTCATTTTTTTCAGGAAGAATGTTAAACAAAAGAAAGTTAAGACCAAAGAAAAGAAACCATATACACCCTTCCCACCACCTCAGCAACCTAGTAAGGTGAGTTGTCATTTTGGTTCTATAAAAGGTCACTTTTTGTCCATTTATTTTGTTCTCTTCTATATCTCTTTTATGTGCAGAGTATTATTCTAAGCATCATATACTCTCTGCACTACATTTAAGTGCTGTGTAAATTGTCATTAGGCAATTGTTGGTGTGGTGTTGTGAAGAGTAATTCTGCTGTATATCCTGCTACTTCTTTGCTCACTATTGTCTCACAGGATTTTGTGGTTTATTTATTTTAATCTTTAAATTTTCAATTGTCTCATCTTCTCTTACAGTGACTGGGATTAAGATATATCCGCTGTTAATTTAATCTAACGTATATAATCTTTTTGATTGTAGATTGATCAACAACTGGAAAGTGGTGAATACTTCTTAAGTGACAAGAAGAAGTTAGCAAAGCAGTGGGAAGAGAAACAAGAAAAACAGGCTGAGAGGGTTGCCGAAAACAAGAAAAAACGGGAAGAAGCTTTTGTTCCACCTGAGGTTTGTATTCACATAATCTCATCAGGGCATTTTTATTTTGCACTCTATTTATACATTTTCATTGTTTATATGCACTTTTGCAGGAACCAAAAACACATAACCAAGACGTGTCCAATGTGGACAAAGATGACGTCACTGCCATGGCATCGTCATTGAAGGTAAATAAAACATATGATGCTCTTCATAGATATATTAAAATGTGCAGACTGCGTCTGGACTTTGATTTTTGGATTGCTAGTGATTTGATGCATTCATATTGGTCTTGCTGCAGAAAAAGGCAAAGGAGTTTAGGAAGCAAAAATCAATTGACAAGATCGATGCTGAGGAATTTATTGCAGGTTCCAGCAGGCCATCTAAAAAGAAATCGAAGAGCTCTAGATAAGGAGTACTACTTAGAAAGCCTGCTTGTGCTTGTAAAACCTGCAGCTGTGTAAATTGCTGTGTTGTCACTGTCTTGTATCTTCATTCAGCCACCATGTTGACGTTCGAATTTTGTAGGACCTTCCCATCCATGCCTGTCAGCTAGTCTTAGTATCTGGCGATTTTGGAAATGGGGTCTCGCTCTTTTTTCCCCTTTGTTGTGATGGTGGGTGAGGTCCATAGTTTTGCTCTGTGTACCGACTCTGATAAATGTCGTTGCTTTGTGTTACGAGTAATTTACACTGACATGGATCAGTTATTCTTCTTTCATCTTTACTTATCATTTACTCTCTTCGTTTAGTCTTTGTTTCCTGTAATTCTTCATCAACTCATCTGTGTATGAATAGGGAAATGTTAGAGCTTCTCTACTTGCAACATAAGGAGTAAACTGCCAGCATCCACATCGATTCATTCCTGATCTGTCAATAGGTTTAGTAAATTACACACAACTTAAAGAGCTTAGTTGTTTAGGAACTAAAAAACGTAGAAATCAAAGCATAATTAATGGCTCAAGACAGTAGAAATCAAATTTCAATGGGATTTTACAAGCTCAATGTATATGAAACCCTGGTAAATTGCAGCAAATTTGTTCAACAAATAGTCAGTAGTCATTGAGTAGAAAGATTTTCTCTCATCCACTTCAGGATCTTTTTGTTTTCCATTGAGTATAAGTGCATGTATTATTTTAAGGGCTGGAGCTATGAAACCAGCCAGGGAAGTAAATCAGTTGCAATAGTTATCACTTCTATTTGTAGTCAAAGGAAAGTTTGTCTTGAACATGTTGCTAAATGACCATGTCAAAAGTACACTGTGAAACACTGTGAATGATCATGATTATTTGTCCAATAATGATGCTTTCTGGAACCAATCAAAGATAATAACACACTTCTAAAAACAATTTTATCACCCCTGCTTATCATAATCCTAATGTTTTAAGACAAAAAATCAATGAATAGCTTGTTGTAACTGGCTAATTGCGTTGATAGTGTAAATATTATTTATATTGTTAATGTATACAAGTTATATCCGGCTATAAATTAAAAAAAACGGTAATATAATTTTCGGACCAGGAAAACGCTAGGTTATAAGCTAACAAAAGAAATCAATAAAACCTGAACTGGTATATTTCATCGTCCTGCAGGAACATGGAATACACCAGACCTAATATAGGCTAGGCTTTTAAGAAGCCATCTCAGCGAGTCGTTTCACTAATCTGTGAGACTCATCTTAATTGCTAATCTCATTCATTTTGTAAAGAGTTTAAGTGATATATATACTTGGTTTGTGTAAGGAATCTCAGATAATTTTTACCTTTTGTAACAGGTGACTTGTCTTATTTTCAAGATTACAAATCCACATTTTAGGAAGGCTTGCATATAAGATATATCCTTTGTGTGATGACCTAATAGTGTAAAAAAATTCTTTACATTGACGGTATATATATCTCAATATTCACATGATTTACCGGCCTAAAACCCCGACATGTAAGCCTAGCCGATATAACATAAAAGTGTTTAACTTGTTATGGACAATGTACGGTCCATAATAAGTTCATCTAGTAACCTGAAAAATAAAGTAAATAACCTACTTAATTACAATATGTCAAAATACACTCTTAGCTTAAAAATACTGTCAGTGCATATATAAGTTACCCGTATTTAGTAAGTAGTAGAAAATTAAGAGAAAGGATCAAAAGAAAGGTCGAAAATAGATTTAAGTTCATCCCAGTTCCCATTCTCTAACCACTCATTAAAGCCCAGAGGACTATTCAGTAAGCTCGAATTGGATGCAGCTGCAGCAACAGTAGATAGCATACTTCCATCATTAGTAGATCCTGAGCTTCGTTGCCCTACGTTTAACAGCTGCTTATTTTCAGCATGATCACTACAGGTATTCTGTTTAATCACATGAGGAGTGCTAAAACTGATGTAAAACTGAGAATTTTTTGAAGAATCAATATTATTGCTGCATATTTTGGGGACTGCATTTCGCTGCTTTGATGCTGCTGCTGCTACTTCTTTCCAATCTGGTATAAATTTTCGATATGAAGCATTTCGTTTCAAGATACGACAAAGAGTCCATGCTTCCTGCATGGGTATATATAAAAAGAAAGAGATTTTCAATTTAATTCATGCACGTAGAATTATCCAACATTTATTAAGTAGATAAAAGTATATATTCTTTAATATATAGCTTAAATCTTTAGATGAAATGATCACACATTTCAACATGGTACCAGATCTTTGACAGTTTAAACTTGTGGATGAAATTGTCATATAATTCAACATGATATTAGAGATTCTGATATTAGAATAGATTATGATACGCTTGATTACTTATACGACAGGCAACAAAAATGCTTGCAAACTATCAAAATTACGGAATGAGAGATGATTAGCTTAAGAAAATATATCAATTAATAACATTTATATATCCAATCTTGGCAAACTTAACTCTGAAGATTTATGTTTAGTTTATAAACAAGGTCAAATAGTATTACGCTATGACTCGATGCTACTTTTTTGCTTAATTAAAGTTGCGTTCATTATAAAGAATTCCCATAATTATTATGTTGTCACACAAATTTAGCAACCTTTTTGGTTGCACTTGAGATAATCAGTCTACTTGCGGTCATGTTGATTGACGACTAAATTAAGTTCAGTGAAGCGGTGATTTTTTTAAAAAAAAAAAATTTTGAAAACAAAGAAGAAAAAGAAAGAAGAATTAACCCAAATAGCTGTCCACCCAATCACTTAAACTAAAAATAGTCGGTGAAGGTATAATATGTTGAGTTGTCCCACATCGGTGGGAGTTGAGGTCCTTGGTCTCCTTATATGGCTTGGGCAATCCTCACCTCACAAGCTAGCTTTGGGGTTGAGTTAGGCCCAATGTCCATTCTTATCATGGTATCAGAGCCAGGCCCATCCCAATTATTGTTACCGATGTTGGGCCCCCATTTATGTTGTCCACGCTCCAGAGGCTCGGGCGTGAGGGGGGGGAGGGGGTGTTGAGTTGTCCCACATCGGTGGGAGTTGAGGTCCTTGGTCTCCTTATATGGCTTGGGCAATCCTCACCTCACAAGCTAGCTTTTGGGGTTGAGTTGAATATGAACGACTATTTGTGTAACGATCCCAAAAAGAAATGTCCTATTTTTCTCTTTAGCTCGGTTTAAAATGAAATGTCACGTTTCTGTATTAAGTAAGTTTTTAATTTACCAATGTGGATTGTGGTAGGATGGATGAGATCCCTCCACTCTTAATCACAGGTCTCGTGTTCGAGCCCTTGAAAAAATCCTATTAGAGAGCATTAATTCTCCAGCCTTACGCGATGCAAATCCGGATTAGTCGGAGCTCCAATGCGAGTATGAGACACAACCATGTTTAAAATCACAAGATCCAAAAATTTCTTTACACTTAAGTATATAGTCAAACTAAGACACATAACGGAGATATATGAAATTTTGAAGTTTCTTACAGCTTCTTGAGCAATGGTATTAGCTGCATGAAGGTGTTTGTTATTTGGAAGACGAAACTCATGCATCATCCACTCAGTTTTAGTGCCTTTTCCAGCACTGCCTCTGTAATACACCAATGATTTCTTTAGTCCTATGATTTCTCCTTTACTGTAAATAGGTTTATCAATACCAGTTGCTTTCCAAAATCCAGAACCCGCCGTCACTCTATTAGGTCTTACACTGTTCTTGTATTTTCTTCCCCTTTTGCAATAGTAGTACCATTCATTTTCTCCCGTGTTACTAGCCTCTGAAACATCCAGATAAACAACTCGTTAAAATCAATGCTAAAAATCTTAAAGGTCAAACCCGTCATATTTAAATTCCATATCCTTCTGTTCTCTGCTACAATTTCATTCGAAGTAGACACATTTCCAATGTTGACACAACCAAATAAACGACTAGCTCTAAATTTATAGTCATATATAAAACCTTTTAGAAAATCTTTACATGCAAATGTACAATTTTAAACAAATCTTCTTCTGTTCTGATCATATATATATATATAGAAGTACTATACTAGCTTTATATTCAAAACCAATAACGAGTATATATACATTTTTATTGAACAGTTGTAATAATTCTCAACTCTTTTCTTTTTCTAAATTGTGTCTACTATCTAATTAATGTGTGTTACCACAAAAATTCTGAACTCTTTTGTAGTTGTAGTCGGGATTTGTTAAACAAGGTCCATGAATAGGGGCGTTATATACGCAGGATTTTGGTAAGCAGTGTCGAAATTTATATATAGAAGAACGAGAATAAACAACTTTAATTATAATAGTTTTAGACAAGAAAAAAAATAGCCTTAGTCTATTGGTTTTATTGAGTCTTAATTCTACTTAATCATAATTTTTAACTCTCTCAAATATTTACGTATAAAAAATACGTGCTAGTTGAGGTTCAAATCTCTGACCTCTTAGAGCAAAATTAGGAACATAACCAACACACGAGGAGACAACTTTGTGCCAAGTGGTGTCATTATTCCTACTTATCCATTTTCTTAGTAAAATTTTCCGACGAAGCGGTGTCATGATATTTTCGTTACATCAAACACACCCCCCCGAAACATCTATTGTATTTGTTTAGCTCATATATTCTTTAAGAAAAAACTAGAGAAATGAAAGAACCAAAACGGAACTGTAAAACAAATTACAGAAATTAAGAGAGAGTAATAAGTAGACATACGAGGCAGATCCCATGGATCATATTTGTAGATGTCGATCTGTTTGATAAGTTGTAAAGCATTAATGGGTCTTTTCTCAACTTTTCTTCGAAGATAAAACCCTACAAGCTCTTCATCCGTCGGATGAAACCGAAACCCTGGAAGTGGAACATCGTCGTCATCTTCTTCTGCCTCTAATTTGTTGTCATTATTATTTGTAACTATGCTGCAGTGTATTTTTTCCACTTCCATTATTAATTCTTGCTGATTTTCTTCTTCTTTTTTCTTATGAAAGATAATATATTGGTGGCCTGGGGTATCTTGCTAGGGTTGTATACTTATATATATCAGAGGATATTTATGTAAAGAAGATTATGTAAGCTAAGTTAAGGAGGCTAAAGACTGTGTTCCTTTGGTCAAAGTCAAGAGGATTGACATTGTTGTTTCAGGGGCAAAAGGTCTTTGAATGGACGGAGTCTTTGTATATATATATGACTGATCACCCCTTGACTTAAAATACAGGAAAACCCAAAAAGGACAATTTACTATATTACTTATAGAAGAGATTAAAGACTTTTTCCTTATTAGAAATATCATCTATGTGAAGGAACCTTCT